TTGGAATAGGCATAAATACATTCTCTTCCAATCAGTCGACCAGATAGTTGTCTTCCAAATTTCTTGGCAGAGATGAGTGAGTGCCTCCTGTACGGACTCACTTTTTTGAGAGATTTCTATTTTTATTCCATCAATTCCTGGAGCTTCGTTCTTTGCCAATTCCTTCAATGCACCTTGGAGTTCTTCTTTCAGTATCATTGGCTCTTGAATGATGCAGAAAGCATCAAAAGAAGATGGAAGGAATACATAGAGTCACTGTAACAATGATTGTTGTTGTGAAGTGCCATCGTGTCGATTCCGACCCATAGCAACCCTGTATAGGGTTTCCAAGGAGAAACTGGCTAGCTCGAACCACCAACCTTGCAGTTCAAACAACTTTGCAGTCTGACGCATTAGCCCACAGCGCCATACCAGGACTTCAACAATGACTGTTAGCCACTATTAATTTTATTAGCGTCCTGGTGTGGCACTGTGGCATAAAGCACTGAATCACAAGGTCGGTTTGAACCATAAGGTCAGTGATTCAGATTCACCAGCTGCTCCTTGGAAACCCTATACAGGGTCACTATGAGTCGGAATCGACTTGATGGCACTTAATAATTATTTTTATCAGCAAGCAGGGGCTTTGGAGTAGTATCTTAGAAGAAGGGAGTACTGTGGTTGGAGCGGAAGCCTGGGAAAGAGTAGAGTAGAAGGAACGCCTGCCCTGGGAACCAGGTGCAAACCCAGTCAGAGCCGTGGTCAGTTTACAGAGGAGCTGTCTTGGGGGGAGTGTGGATTTCAGTCAGGGGCAGTAGATAAGATCACAGAGGAGTCACTGTACTTAGGGGGTTGAGGGGGTACTTGTCAGGAGCCCTAGTCAGTAACAGAGGAGCTGCCATACTAGATGATACTTCAGCCGCAGTCAGTAACAGAGGAGCTGCCATACTAGATGATACTTCAGCCGCTTTTGATCTCTGGAGGCCAAGGACAGCATGGGATTAGGGAGCGGCCTTTTCCCTGCCTCTTTAGGGAACCCAGGCAGCATGCTCAGGTCCTAGTCCTCTGTAACAGACACTGGTATTTCGGACTGTGGGAACCTGGGTACGAGAAGAGGAGTATGATGGTGCCAATGGTAGTGGATACCATGTGCGGCTGCCTTTAGCAGATTTAGAAATCATGTGGAGGGCCTTAATAAGCAGGTGAGTAAGTAGTAGAGAACCTTTGGGTTCCTGATGTAAATGTGTTCATTGGTATTCAAACCCTTACAACTGGGCAAACATTTTTTCAACACCTGCTTTGCGCCAAATACTATACTGGTCAGGGGATGCAAACTTAAAATCTATCAAGATTACCCCTTTGAGTCCCAAAAAAACAGTCACCAAAATGTTCTGACATGATCCCTCTGCCTTAAATTCAACTGGCCCAGCAAATCCCCTTGGAATCTGTTTTGATTGGAGGTTTGTGTTTTTTTTTAAGAACTTTTTTTTGAAGGCACCCTAGAGACTAAGACACATGTATTTACTGAGAGAGCTTGTCTGCAGCCATCCACTGATCACAGAGGCATGTTTAAACACGTTTTATTTGGAAGAAACCTTTTCGTGTATGAACTGGAACCTTATTAGCAATACTTCTTGACTTACTTACCTTCAGTTCAGGTTTATACACAAGATGGATGAAACAGTGACCACAAGAAAGGAATACGAGACAGGGACCATCACTTATTTGTTCATTCAAGGGACACTGAATGTCCTCTATGCAAAAGCAATTTTCTTATACATCTAATCTCTAGTCCTAACCTGCTGAGGTTAAACACCAAATCACTACTATTAATACTGCAGGTAAAGAAAGGGTAAATAGGTTCTATTAAATGTTCACCTTGGGTTGAGAGAGAAAGAGCAGGATTTACCAAACAAATATTTTCTCAAAAAAAAAAACAGTCATATTCAAATAGAAACATGTGCCAATGCATTTAAATCATTTTTGTTTTGTTTCTTAAAGAATATATGGACTACTGTGTTGCACTAAAACAGAAGGGATCGTATCTAGATGCACACATGGAGAAATGGTTCTGAAACGTTGTTGGATAGTAAAAAGCAAGTCTTAGAATAGGAACAGAATCATCCCTCTCTTCTATTAATTACATATGCATAGAGAAAGGTCAGGAAGGATACACACCTAATTGTAGAGAGGAGTAATATTGGGGACTTGAGAAAAGTTTCTTTAACTTTTTACATCCAGCTTCTTTTGTCATTTGCAACACACACACACACACACACAGGAAAAAAACAAGAAAAAGAAAACAAGTTTCTGAATCCTATTTGGCCTGAATTTTTCACAGGACTTTGAAAGCTGCTGAATGGAATAAAGGAGGTGGCTAATTCTTCTGGCAAGTGAGAGAATTTCCATATCCAGCTTTTCTTTTTTAAAGAGAGAGAGACTCGGGGAGAATGAATTGCTCCAGCAGTATTCATTACTCAGCACATCCAAACAGGTAGTCTCATTCTCGCCTCTACCACCACTGCAGCCTGAAACACAGAGCAACAGAGAAACCCTTTGATAAATGTCAACTGAAATTGAGCAATCAGCTGAAAGTCATTTGCTGAGCTGCCTGACTGCCCTGGGCTCGAGGTTTTCCTTTATTCATTTATCATGAGATGCAGCTTTGGCCAACATACACACAGGAGAGAAATTGTTGACATGTGGAACCCAAGTACAGAAAATCTTTCATTTTCTCCCCCGTCTGTTCACCAAATAAGTTTTTGTTTATTTAAAGACTACAGAGGATTTGGCTGTTAAGAACCAAATGCCTTTGGAGTGGAGTTACAACATAATTTATCATTTCCTCTGTTTATTAAAAAATCCTGCATCTTTGAGAAGAACATTTGCAGTAAGTGGGGGATTTTGACCACTCATGAAAAGACTGTTGCAAAGTCCCCACCATGTGGCTTAACTCCCAAAAGACTCCTAAATTACTATTTCTATCCTTGTCTTTCCCACCGGGATAACTGATGAGAGGGTGATGGCCACTTAAGGGCTGAGAACGGGGTTTGAGGTCAGGTAAGCAGAGCAGAAGATTGGGTTACCTTCTTTCATCTTCAACCTAATTCTGATTTTGACCCCTTACTGGCTGACTGGTACCAGGATGAGCAGTGAGAAGCACCGCTCTTACTATCTGTATCCTGGGACAGAATCTGGGAGGAGTCAAACAGCAAAGAGAAGTGGATTCTGCTTCAAAGAAACTGAGTCATGTCCAGCTGTTGCTGAAGTGGGCTCTACTCTGAATGCAGACAACTGGCAGAATGGAATGAACTCTTTCTACCCAAGACATTTAGATAGCAACTCATCCAAGGCACCATGCCGGGGTCTCATCTTCTGCATTTATTTCCAGTATGTAGCAGTAACTCTGCTACAAGCTGGAAATGCGCAGTTGGTGCTCACTGAAGGTGCTCACTGAAGGTTTATGAAGAAGGCAGTAGGATGCAGTGAGAGAGTACATGCTTTAGAATCAGGCCTCAATTTGAATCCTAATTCTGCCACTTGCTAGCTGTGTGACCCTGGATGAGAAACTTCATCTCTCTGTGTTCTTCTCTCTCTGTAAAATAGACTGACAAGTCTTGCTGTGCACAAGTGTTTAAAGGATTACAGATAATGAAACCTTCTGTCATTTACTCGGTAGGTTTTGATACTTTTGGGGCAAGTTACCTAACATTGTCAAGTTTCATTTTTCCTATTTGTAAAATGGAGATGATACAAGTTACCCTTCAAGTTTACTAGTTGTTGTTGTTGTTAAGTGTCATTGAATCGGAAACGACCCTGTACAAGGTTTATAAGAGTGACAGGTGAGTTTGAATCACCAACCTTGTGATTTAAATTGACCTTGCAGTCCAGTGTTTTATCTCACAGAGCCACACATAAAGACGAAAAATGATGTCTACAATTGTGTCTGGCTCATGGTGGCTTTATTATGAATGAATGAGAAAATACTGGGAGGGTAAAAAAAGAAAAAACTCAGTAACCAAAGATGAACCACAGCAAACCATTTGTCTGTCAACAACAGCCAGGCCCAAGGGGAAAGGCATCTCATTCTAAGAAAAGGTTGAGAGCTAGGGCAAGAATAGAAAATGCCAGAAAAATAAGAGGTCAGAATTCACTGAGTACATTCAATCATAACACATATATTTGAGTACCTGCTATGCTCTAGGCACCATGCTGAGTTCTGAGGGTACACAGGCTAACTTGCAAACAGAACAAGTGGAGCTCAGATAAAAGCAGTGGATGGTCCTATGAGAGCCAGAACCAGAGGGGGTCCTAGGTGAACAGAAGGAAGACTTCCTGGGAGTAGTGACAGCCACACTAAGACCTACAGGATAAACAGGACTGTCCAGGTCAGGCAGAATGGAAGAATGGTCCAGGTACATAATATGGCATGTGAAGATGGCTCAGAGTCAAAGCCAAGCACTGCAGTGGTTGCTTCATATCCAGGTCCTTAGAGATTGTCAATCAAGACCAACTCTACCCTTTTCTTTGTGGCTTTTATTCTTTCCCATTTATTTAGCGTTTTATTCGGTGAAAAGGAACCGGGAGCAAAGGTGTTTAATCACAGGTGAAGGTCCACATCAGCTCAAGCAGAGTTCAAGGCAGACACAGGACCAGACTGCTTGCTTATTGGAAAAGGAGGTTTCTGAGACAAGAACAAAAGCACTACCCTGCCAATGGCCCTAGCACCTTGGCGTTGTTACAGTCAAGGCAAATGCCCCCAAGTAAGCACCCTCTGCCAGCAACAAGTATTCTCCGAAGGCCACCCAGGACAGCAGGCCCAAAGCACAATGGGATGGGCATGAGACAGGAGGAAAAGAGTCTGGGTGCCCCACTGGAAGGCTGAGCTTCACAAGGACCAACAACTGAGTGGGTGGCCAGGCTTCCATGTGATGGTGAGAGAGGTCCCAATTTGCACTCATGAGATCACTAGAAACTGGGCTCTGGAGTGCTGCTGGTCCCTGTGGGCTTTTATCCAAGGAGTTCTTTGGTCTTCACTGTCAGATGCCTGTCCAACTCTGTAACTGTGTCATCGGCCATTTGGCTGATCTGCAGAAACAGAAATTAGACAGTCGAATCACTAGGGATGGAAACAGATGGGGATAAACATGGCAGAACTACACACAGGGTTAAACCCACCAGCTACTCTTAGAAACCCTACACCGGGTCACAATGAGTCGGAACCGACTGGATGGCACACAACAATAACAAATGAACAGGGTATTTGGGAAATACTCATAGTGACAGAAGCTCCCATTAATTCCTAGTCAGGAATTTTATATACACACTTATTTATTCCTAACAACAATCCCATTATATATATAGTATATACTACCTACATAGTATAGTAGTGTTGGAGGAGAATATTGAAAGTACCATAGGCGGCCAAAAGAACAAACAGATCTGTGTTGGAAGAAGTGCAGTCAGAGAGCTCCTTGGAGGCCAGGATGGCCAAACTTTGTCTCTCATACTTTGGTAAGGTGGAGGGCCACAGAAAAAGAGAAAACCCCCCAGCAAGATGGATTGGCAAAGTGGCAGCATCAATGGGCTCAAGCGTGGCAACAATTGTGAGGTTGGCCCAGGATCGGGCAGTGTTTCGTCTGCTGTGCATAAGGTCACTAATGAGTTAGTACCAACTCGATGGCACCTAACAATAACAACAACATAATATATGTGTGTGTGTGTGTGTGTGTGTTTATACTATTTTCTCCACAGTTTAGATGACAAAACTTAGGTAGTTAGATCATTTAATCAAAGATAAACGTCAAGTAGCAATGACAAAATCTAAGCTGGGAAGTTTGATTCCATGTCCCCAAAATTTTCAGTATTATATAATACAGAGATGCCAGCCTTATTCATTTTTAATGAAATCCTAGAATTTCCTATAACTCAGACACTGTGTTATATATAAAGCATTCATACTACTCGATTTAAAAATATATTAAGATCCCAATAGTTAAGCAAAAATAAAAAGACTTGAAAAGCCATGAAGTACATCTGGTTAACAAACATAGAAAAATCAATAAACACCAAAGAAATGCAAATTAAAAGAAGATACAATTCAACTATCATCAGCAAAATGTGATGTTATGGTTTTTAATTACAACATCCAACATGAGCAAGCTACAGCGAAACGGATAAGCTGATGCATCCATTGATAGGAATTAAAATTGATGTAAAAGTCTATAGCACTAAACCCAAAATCTCTCAACTAGGAAATTACCACAAAACAAGATCTGAAAATATTTTCTTAAATTCTGTATGCAAAGATTCTTATTCCAGCATTATTTATAATAATAATAAATAAATAGAAGTATTTAAAGTAAAACCAAACCTACAAGATTGAAAATAGGGAACCAGAGATATCAATGTATAATGAAGTCAACTACAAAGCAAAAAGAGGGAATAGTGCAGATATAGAACTTCCAAATGGCAAGGAAGTCAAGTAGATTTCAACAGTAAACAGACTGTTTTAAGCAGGGAAAAAAATTAACAAATTTTCGGGTAACCACAAAGAAAAATAATACACCTGCATATGAAATTAAAAAATGAGCAAAATCAGAAAGACTTAGTAAACATTAACACAACAGAAATGAAAATTAAAAAGAAAACCCACAAACAAAATGAACTCAGCATAGAAAATTGTATGCAACAAAAAAAAATCCAACAGCACCACAAAAACACACAGAAATGGCAACAATCAATGCATACCTATTGATAATTACACTGAATGTATAAATGGATTAAATGTACCAGTCAAGAGACATAAAGAGCAAAATAGATAAGAAAACAAGATCCTTCAACATGCTGTCTGCAAGAGAATTATGAAAAAGGTGAAAACAACCTAAATGCCCATCAAAAGGAGAATGGTTAAACAAACTTTGGTACATACACACAATGGAATACTACAAAATGTTGAAGAATAATGATGATTTTGTAAAATACCTCACAACATGGTTGAATTTGGAAGACACTATGCTGAGTGAAATTAGTCAATCACGAAAGGACAAACAGGTCTTCTTAATAAAACAATCTATGATGGTTAGGGGGAGAAGAGAGGAAAAATTATTCATGGGCTAGGGAGTAGGACTTCTGATGTGGGGCTGCCGGTCAATGCGGTAAACTGCAACATCGGTGTGGGCCGTTAAGGCTGGCAGTTCCAACTCACCAGCTGCTCCTTGGAAACCCTGTACAGGGTCGCTATGAGTCGGATCCTGACTCGATGGCACTTAGCAACAACAACATGTTAACATGGGTGACAGGAAGGCAATGTACAACAAGAGGGAGGTTGGCAGAGGACAGATGAAGGTAGCAGGAAACACGGGGAGGAATGCAATTGTTAAAGAGAATAGAGGTAAATGCTATTAACTGTTGGTACATGGAGGGGATTGCAACCATGTAGTGAAGAAAAGTATATGATTTGTTGAATGTGAAACTGATGATCTACTCTGCAAACCTTAACTCAATTCACAATAAAAAGTTCAAAAAAAAACAAAATTATACAAGGAGGAAGTTGTTGAGTATATGTTGTTATTAAGTGTTGTCAAGTCGGTTCCGACTCACAGTGACCCTGTATAGAGTTTGGAGAAGAAGCTGATGGGTTTGAACAGCTGAATTTGTGGTTACCAGTCCAATAATATGTATCCAAACAGTGCTACAAACATTGTTAAAATTGGATTTTCTTGGGGGCAGGGTATAAATATGAAAACAGTTCATTATACATCTCTGAAATGTATGGATGTTTTGTAGCAAGCACGGATTGCTTTTTTAACCAAGAAGAAAAGTATTGTTTTTCAACATTTCAAGACATTATTTCTAATATTTTTAAATGATCATGTTACCATGTAAATTCAAGAGCAAGCAGGTCACAAAATTACAGCAGAAATTATTACAAATACACACACAAAAAATGTACATATTTTAAAACGAGAAGTCAACTTGCCAAAACATTAATAGTGATGTTACCGTTTAGTGATGGGAACACGGGTAATAAGTTAGTCATGTGTGTATCTGTTATACCCAGCCTAAGACCTCATAGATAGCAAGTGCTCAGGAAATAGTTATGAAGTGGATATTCACAGTCTTCTTTTCCAGATTTTCTGCAATAGCATGTATTCCCCTCTAAGGATGAAAACTAAACACAATCCCATTTAGTAAGTGCTACGGCCTCCCTCCCTTGTCTAAATGGAACCTATGGCAGGAAGCCTGAGGCAGAAAGCTGTGAAGTGGGCAGCCTGGTACCCAAAATCTGTGTACTCAGCAGCATAGTGGCTGTTTGACATTTTTATATGTAGACCACAGGCCTTGGCCAAAAATCGGGAACTGAAAATGCACTGGAAAGGGCAGAAATGAAAAGGGACTTGAGCAACTGGTCCCAAGCAACAGTCAGGATGCGATCATAGCAACAACTGTGCATTTTTACACTGGGAAAGCAAAGGTGCAGGGTGGAGGAGGGCACTCTGGAAAGTGGCTGGGCCCTCCTCACAGAAACCCTTGAGATGCTTCTGCCCTTTGCAACTGCCTTGCATCGGACAGACGCGGTGGCAGGCAGCACTCCAGCACCTGTGGGCCTGCAGCTTAGACCAGCCTGGACCAGCCAGGACCGAGGGCTGCAAGCCTGGAGAAAATGGATTTGCGAGCAGCTTGGGGACAGATGGGAACAGGCAGGGCAGCATCTGCTATCAATTTGATACAGAGGTGCTGGGTTGGTTTCTCAGCACTGTGTAAGTCACTTCCCCAGTCTGAGTCTCCACTGGAAACGTTAGTCCCTTCTTTGGGGGAGTACCGGTCGTTGTGAGGGTTAAACAACATCATGCCTATGCAACAAGCACTTTTAAAACTGGCCATCTGCTATGCAAATGCTGTTTATGTCACTATGATTTTTATGATCACTTGTGATTTCTTTTTAATCAATGAAAGTGTTTACTGACTCTCTTTTCCATCTTTATCAGCTTTCTTACAATGATGCTTAACAGCAACAACAGTATCAGCTACCACATACTGAACACGGGGATAAACTTGACCTACCTTTTCTCACATAATCCTCACACCATTTGAAAAACTATTATTATTCCTTTTGATATAGACTATGAATATTAATTATTTTGTATGACCCAAACAAAAACCCACAGCTGTTGAGGTGATTCTGAGTCACAGCGAACCAATAAGACAGGTAGAACCACCCGATAGGGTTTCTGAGGCTGTGACTCTTTATGGATGCAGACTACCTTGTCTTTCTTCCGTGGAGCAGCTGGCAGATTAAAACTGCTGACCTTTCAGTACAGAGCCCAACCCACTGCACAACCCAGACTTGACAGTTACACAGTATTTCATACTACGTGAAAGTATTTTGCCTTCTGGCACTTCATTTAACTCCAGCAATCTCACATACACTCTCTAAGGCAGCTGGGTCAGGAATTATTTCCATCCTAGAGAGGAGGAAACCAAGGCATTGATGGATAACGGATCTGCCCAAGACGTGACTGAGTGCAGAGCTAACCCGTTCCCCACAGCCAGTTTAGTGCTCTTGCTCCTTTGTCAGGGCCATAGCATGTGGCCTAGTCCTTCCTCACCCTAGGTGGGCCATGTAAGGGGATCACAGCAGTCAATTCAGTCTCAGATCCAGGCACAAGGTTGGGAGAGGAGTGAGATGGACAGACAGAGCAAACAATTACTGAGGACCAGCAACCATACCAGCCATTTTAAAGTATGTGTGTCATTTGATCCTTATACTGATCTTATGAGACAGGACTACTGCCCCACACTTACAGATAAAGAAACAGAGGGGTCAGAAAGGTTGAGAAGTGAAAGAGTTAGGATTTGAATCCAAGTCTGACTCCATAACAACAGATCACATCATTATAATAAGCTGCCTCATAAAGGTTATAACATAACCATCAATATTATCATTGCCATCATAATCATCACCACCATCACATTTGCTGGTTACAAGTTCAGGAAAACGAAAGACAAGACCAGAGAAGGGGCATAGCAGGGGCACCCAGGACACTCCTGAAGCAGGTCTGGAAACGAGTCTGCTTTCCTAAGGC